GATCATCCGCAGACCGATGGTCAAACCGATAGGGTGAATCGCGTCAACGAAGACGTTCTTCGCAGCGTCTGCGCTGAGGCGCCATGCCGCCAATCGTAGAGTTTGCACTGAACAATGCAGTGCATGCGTCTACCGGCTACACGCCATTCTATGTGAACGGGCTGGCTCACCCTCGCGTCCCGCTACGCCGCCATCCCATGGCTCAGGGCTTGGTTGAGGAGAAATCGCCGAACGGCTAGCTGATGTCAGCCCCCTCACCATCCGCAAAGAAGTCGATGACTGCTTGTCTATCAGACTGAGTCTCCTATGACACGTTCGCGATGCGATGGCTGAAAGTCAAGACCTGCAGAAAACAATCTGCAGATGAAAATGGAAGAAGCAAAGTGGAGAGCTTTAAGGTCAGGGACCTGGTTTTATCAACTTTTAAAAACATGCTTACACATGCAGCCTCTGCATTCTTCCGGAAGAAGCTTCGCCCACGGTTTATTGGACCGTTTAAGGTTGTGGCCTAGCGGGGCCTAGCGTATACGCTGAACCTTCCGAAACGGATGCGCACCGGCTTGCTCAAGCTGAACCGGGATCCGGCGCAAGTGAACGCGGAAGCGTTGGCGCCGGAGCGGATCCCACGGGCCCTCGGCCACCCAGAAGTTGACCAGCAACTGGTTCTGAGCACGGAGTGCAAGAACCTCCATTTCCAATGGAGCCAAGCGCTCCACCGTTGCTTGCAGCGATGCATTCACCTGCTCCACGGCTAGGAGTCACTCCTACCGAGAGCGGTAGTCCTCAAGGCGAGTCAGCCGGCGCATGACGTGCTTTACATCGTCAAGAGCGTCCGCATAGCGATATGCTACTTCAGCATGACGCTCAGCGGAGCTCCGATTACGAAGGACCCTCATCCTCAAGGGCTCGTAGAGCATCACGAGTCACTCGACTCGGTTGTCACCGCCCGCCACCGACTCTTTTCGATGAGAACGATGACGTACACTATCACGTGGAACGTCTTGTTGGATGACGTCGTCACTAGGGTTAAACCCAATATCTGGTGAAGTGGCGGGGATGTCCTGACTCCGAAATCGTTTTCTCACGACCGAGATGACCACTTAGTGGCGTATTATAAGCCTCCTAGAAGATGCGATATTTCAAATCCGTATCATGAGGATCCACAATTCGTGGTGTATTCGTTGAAACGGTGCTATGATATAGCAAACCATTATTCAACGAATACCGGTGCAATCGTTCACACAGTCTTTGTGACAATTTCTTGTCCATGTTTACAAACTCCTTGCTCCCTAGAGCCCGTTGCAACGCCACACACATCCCATCACCCGCATACGCAGTGCGGATCGAATCCATCACATACGACGTTTCGGCTCTAACAAAGCAAGCTCATAGTCTGGTCTGCATGACAACGCATCAGCCAAAGCATTCTGCTTTCCCGGCTTATACTTTACCTCGAAGTAATATTCCACAAAGAAAGATAGCCATCTAGCCATCCAGGGGCGATATCGGGTGATCGCGTTTGAATCTCGACAGCTCAAAGCTGCAGAGAAGAACTACCCAGTTCA